CCGTGTGGATCCCACCGCCCTCGCAACATAAATCCCTAAAAGGCCAGAATCGAAACGCAACAAGCGTTGCTTGGAAAAAATCATAACAACGAACGTAGGAGCAAATCCCGCAAAGGTACACACACCCGCTTACGCGATCGGAAAAATCGAATGGAACCGGACTTTTAACGAAACGAAATACCAAAAACAAAGGGCCGATGGGACTTGATTTTTTTCTTCTTTTTATTTCTTTTTCTTTTCTTTTTCTTTCGGTCTTTTTGTTGTCCCCCTTATTTGAACAAATAGCGCGAGGAATGTGAGAACATAAGTTGAACAGCTGCAACCCGATTTTCCTCTCGCGCGCCCGTTGGGGGGAAAAGGTTGGCTCTGGTAGTGAGTGGCGTGGCACCTAAGGTCCTTCGCAAGGAAGCTCAAGCAACAAACTCGCCAGACTGAATCGATGCAGCTTCGCCCGAACTCGACAATTGATGGGAAAAATAGCAGGATACCTATGGCTGGTAGGTAGGGAGATTTTGCGGGGGTCAAAGAAAGAAAGAAACCTCCTCAATGCCGCGGTTATCTCTTCAATCTCTTCCCTTCTTTCGCGTTTGTAACGATCAGGGAAAAAAAGCATTCGTTGACGGTTACCAACAAATCAACTAGGGGAAGATGGAAACAGATTGGTCCCATTTTGTCCGCGACGGAAATAAGTTTCTCCCGCTCCGGAGCCCCTTCGAAGTTCGAGCCAGAACCGGAGTTTATTTTTATATGGATTTTTTTTTTATATAATTTAATTCTCCACCTCCATTAGTTAACTTCGAGTTGCCCATGATTTGAACTTCAAAACTTCCCCCCACGGCCTGACTAACTCCTCGTGACTCCGAGTTGAAGCAAAAATAAGACAAAGGAGAAAGGATTCGAACGTAGCGGGAGGAAATGAGCAGAGGAAGGGAGGGGAGGGGAGGGGGAGGGGGAGGCGGAAATGGAAGATTAACTATGGATGATATCGACATATGTAGAATAGATACACATAAATCCTAGGTTGAATAACAAACAAACAAGTAGGGAAGTCTGTTGTCATGGAACGGGGGAATGGAAAACACAAAACGATAAGTTATATATATATATGTATGTATATTTAAAATTCAATGAAAAACAACGGAACCGCAACAGGATATCATTTCATGTAAAATGGGGTTTAAGTAGGTTCACTACAGTAAGCTAGGTAAGCTAGGTGAGCTAGGTGAGGGTTAGGTAGAGAGCGGAGAGCAGGTTTCTCCCTTCCCCAATAAGCTATATATCCCCATCCCCCAACCCACACGACACGATACGACACGGCCCGACACAATGCGATAGCAATACGAGATACGCCTTTGTCCCGTTCAAGCCAGCCAACCATCCTTTTCTTGTCAAGCATCAAGAGAACGAAATAAAAGGGGAAGAAAAAACCATCATTCGAACGCAGAAATGAAGAAAGACGGGGAAAATATATTGAACAGGCTTGGTGGAATACATTTAGTAGGCATGTACCTGCTCGCAACTTCTCTCTCCAGAACAAATCA